TCGACTCTGAGGATCCCCTATTTCTTGCGTGGGCGATCTTGTCGCCGACGGGCGATGTTGTCCAGGGCGTTCCGGTCAAATTCGTAGGCGCCGACCTCATTACCGTTGTCCATGGACATTGTGTTGGAAGGATACGTTAAGGTTCAGATAAAATGAAGAAATGAAGAAGCGCTCCTTCATAGTATGGAGATGGTAGAATCTTCAAGCAACTTTTGAACGACCAGGGAGAGTTGCTGATAGGCGAATTTGTATGAAGCTATAGAATTCCTTTATTCTTTCAAAGTAAATGAATGCTTATGTATTCATTAGTAGCGTGAAGCTTTGAACATATTCGTTAGTAGCGTGAAGCTTTGAACACTCTTTGTACGGCAGATTCGGCACAATGTTTTGCCTCATTGCGATGTTGCCTGAAAATTTTGAACAGAAGGGATCACTGCTCATGCTGGTGCAGCAAGACATGTAAGGAGATGGCCTGGTCACAATCCAGCAGTCATATATCGACAATCTCAAGCTATGACAACTTGTTACATGTGTCTGTAATAAAAAAGGGACTTTGCGATGGTGTGGGGAGCTCTTTGAGTGGTGGGACTGTGGAAATCCAGTTTGTTTCGCCCGTAACAAGTTTGTTACGGGCGAAACAACGTCCCTCTGAAACGTTTGGATATGCCTATGCAACACATTTCCTCAATTTCATGAACTGCAAGTATTCTAATCCAACATCACCCCAATCTCAGTGTAAACTAGTCTCCAAATGTGCCTGCACAAGACTGTCACCCCTGTCACCCGGCATTCACATTGCCTTAACCTCCTCAAGCTTGTCGGGGTGTGACACGTGGGCATGAACCTTGTGACAATGGGCATTGTCACAAAGAAACTGGTTGCAATCAGAAATGCATTTTTGCTCATGCCAGGTTACCGACATAACGGATAACAGTTAACGGATAACGGTTCGCCCGGTAATCCTACCGACCGGTTACCCATCTCGTTAACTGGACCCGTTAGGTCGGAACCGGGCCGGAACCGGCCTGGAGTATGCCATTGGGCATGCCGCTTGTGACTGCGGCCAAAATGCCTTGATGAGCGGCCTTTCGCCGAAAAAATTACATACACTTTTACAGGCGCATTTTGAGAATCGCACGCGCGCACCCGCGCGGCAAAATTCGCTCCTAGCTTTTGGGGCGACATGTACGGACCTTTTATTCGCGAAGTACGACCGGACACATTTGTGCGAGGGGCTGCTTAAACATTGTTCCTCAGTATGGTTATCCTTGCCGCAATAACCACACTTGGCGCCTGGCGTATTCCTTGAGGTGGTTGGCGCAGTCGATGTACTTGCCCCGGAGTTACCAGGCGACTTACAGAATCGCGCCTTATGTTCAGGTTTTCCGCAGTTGTAACATTTAGTGGTATTGCGAGAGGATAGGGCGACGGCAACGGGATCCTTAGTCGCACTGTTCCTGGTTGCCTGCTCGACCGGCAACAAAATCTTCTCCAGAGCAAGCAGATCAGTAGGCATTGCACCCATAAGCAAATGTTGTTGGGCCACTTCGAAGAAGCTGCTAAGCCCCAGTACCGCTTGCAAAACAATGGAGTTGTTGTCCTTGGCCAATCCCGAACCCGCTTCCCACATTTCACTCACAACGTTCTTGACGCGAAACAGGTAATCAACCACTGACTCGGAGCTGGCCATCTTCAGATTCGTAAACTTTTGGTGCGTTGACATCTGTCGAGCGCTGCAGCTTGCTGCGTAGCTGCGGTGCAAAGCGTCCCAAAGTTCCTTGGCTGTGTTGTTGCTGTCGGCATAGTCCAACACATTCTCGGCCAGTCTCAGCGCGATCTCTGCGTGGGCCTTGCGGTCCAGCTCTTGTGCGGCGGCGTCGCTGGCTGGGACGCCCTTCTCGATGATACTCCAAAAGCCCTTCGCCGTAAGGGCCGCCTTCCTGTATCTGGACCAAGTGACGTAGTTAGATCCGTCAAAGCGAGTGTTCCACAATGAATCGGTCACCATTTTAGAGCGTGGGGCTCATAACCTCTTGAGGGCTGAATGGATTTGGATGCAATAGTGATTGCCAGAGCGTTTACAAAGCAAACGGCTCAGCTCAGCCACAACTCACTATTCTAGAAGCATGCCAGACCAAAGATAATCGCTGGCTCATTCCTATTTATTCACGAGTTCGACAGTCGATCGATCAGCAAGAGTTTTCGCAACATAACGTAGCATGTGAATCCAGTATAACTGCAACGACGTGGCTCTGTTCAACTTCAACCACGTTTACGGACATTGTGGAATCAATTATCAAAAACCCTTTTTCTGAGCAGAAACACAGTCCACATCTATGACTT